AAAAAAAAGAAAGTTAAAAGGAAAAGAGAAGGATGAAGATCATCTCACAAACAGCCATGCTGACAGACTAATCCAAACGGCTTGGCACTCATTCCCCCATACCAGGTGAAATCCGGCAAAAGCAAGCACCAGTCATACTTCTTTGATGGTGACATCCACCAGGTCGTCCGACGGTTTACTGGCCTCCGATTTCCCGTGGCTCTAATGCAAGTCTCGTCATGGCTTTGCCGTTGTTGCCTTACTAGTTAGGCCGCTGTCCTCGACCCGTTGCCAACCTGTCCGAGCACAATGAAGATCCAGAACTTACGCAAGGGAAATGAAGCAGGAACAGAGCTTTCGACCCTCAGAGCAGCCCGACCGGAAAGCAGGGTGACACAGCGACCCAACGCACCATCAATGAGCCGGTGATTGGGTCTATTCGCTTAGGATCCTCATCCCCATTTTCTCTTCGTACGTTCTCTACCTTGTTGCTCTTCCATTTGTTCCCTTTTATACGAAGAAAGAGAAAAACAAAAACAAAAACAAGAGTCCTACTTCCCGTCTTTTTGTGCATCAAGACTTGATCACATGAAACCGATATCTACAGACTCCACCATCAACGAGGCAAGTCTTGCCATAGCCACTAAGAAACAGCAACTCAGTCTCACCAGCCCTCTCTGGCTTGCATCAGCCTAGTGATGCAAGATGCTCGACATCCGTCTGTGCAGTAAAGTTGACGGTATGCCTTGGGCTAATCGTGGGTGGGCGACGCATCGTGGATTAGGGTCTTTGACCGTGTCGAACCATGGGCCTTCTCCGTAGCGTCGATTGTGCCCAACGACCAACCGTTCTGTGCTAGGGTTCAAACCAGTGAGGAGGAAAAAGGAACATTGCGTTTTCTCACTAAGAACCCAATACGGTGCCCGCTGGTTTCCAATGATCACCCAACTCGACCCTCCAAAGATGTTCGGGGGATGCAGCGAATGTGGGGTTTTCGCCTATCGCTCGTTTGCTTCCCTTCGCTCACCGCCACTAAAATTACAAGTCGTTCAATGGTTTCTCATCAACCAACCAGCTTTTTGACCCATTGGGCCTCGAGCCCAATTTCGGTCCCTTGGTCACCTTCCTTAGCCCGTTTTGGTCTTTCTAGAACCCAACAAGATTGGACCCGGACTATTCAACAATAGGTCCTCTTGTGGACCGACCATCCATGCTTATGCCTAACGTGAAGCCTGGGGAAGCATTCGCTTTGAGTCGCTCAAGGAGCCATCGTGTCGTCATCCGTCTTTGGGCCCCTCGATTGATGCTTCCCATCAGTATCGATCCGGTCTTCACTCAGTTGTGGGAGAACATCACCTCTCCTCGTGTCATCAGTTTCGCTCCTTACTCGCTAGGCCGTCAGATTAAGGTCGCTAAGACTAGCTCTCGCTTCGATTCTCAGGTCTTACTTTATCCTTCTACATCCCGTTGTCATGCGTTTCCACCCTACTTCGTTCATTCCTATTCAGTTCTATTGACTTACATCGTCATATGCCAACACCGTCCTGATCAGCCGCATCAGTCTGCTTATTCCCATTTTGGGATGACAACATTGATAACATCACAGTTTCAACTAATCCTGAACAGTTTGTCGACCGCAGGTCGTACAAAAAAAAGCAGTCTGAAGGAGGCACCTGACATGGAACGCATGGAGCTCAGCAAGCCGACAATCGTATACTATCGCCAATGACGACGATCCTCCAACTACAATGGGACAATTACATCACCGTCTCCTGCACTCCCAACTGCTCCAACGCAGTCAATAGGCCCATTCTCGTTTATCCTTTTAATTGTTTGCCCTGTCACCTGAACTCTGTGTAGTTGCACAGGCAAGGGATAGATACGTTACTCACTACTGGAACTTTCTTTCTTTTTTCTTTTTTCGCTCTTCTGTTTTTTAGAATACTTTGGAATCTCTCACCACACGATCCATCGGCCACATGGAGATGACGTCCAGAAAGCAAGGGACTAACAAACTAACTAACCACAGTGCAGGGCGCAGCTCATCTGACATGTATCATCTTATATACCTCGGTAGATAGTAGATAATGATCCGTCTACCGGCGGATACTCCCAGATATGCATATCTGCTTCAATCAGAGATCAAACTCAAAATATATATATGGTGGTGTGATCATCTTCTGGACCGAACTCAGTCATACGCTACTGGGATTTGCCGAGCATGAAAACAGAAACAGAGAATTGGTCTGATGTAGTGCAATTAAAGTATATCATATATATGCTGTTATCCGATCAATGACCATCCAAGTCCCGAAGCAGAGTGACAATTCCCTTTCACATCCAAACGGCCCTCAGTCCATGCTAGAACAGGTATCTCAATCCGTGTATGAATTATCTACTAAGAAGGCAAAGGAACAGAAAACATCAGGAAAGGGCAGGGAAAAGTAGGGGTGGGAAACGCTCTGTTATCTGCAAATGCAATTCCAGAAGTTAAATATCATGCTCATAATATGGTATCGGGAAGAGAAAATAAGAAAAGTAAGAAACAAAAGTGAGATAACGGAGGTTTGCAAGAGAAGAAGAGATAAAAACGATTGAGAATTGCTCAACGAACCCGATAACAGACGCCACGCCACGAACGAGGTCGATGGTCCAAAGAACAACAAACCTATAATTCCGACCCCCGTAATGCTGAAAGGTATCAATCAAACCTGAATGCTCAATGCAGATGCGTAGTGAAAACCCGCGGGTGAAAAAAGAGAAGCGGACAATGACATAGACTCGAAAACCAAAATTCACGACTCGAAAACATCCAAAGACGCCTTTCCGTCCGACGGCTTGTACCAAGCCAAAACCCCAGCCCAAAATTGAGAAAAAGTAGAACTAGTAGCAGGTACATCAGGACACGATCATAGCAGTCGGGAGGCCATGTACTTTTCCATTTGGCGCACTAGCTGGAGGCTAGACCCGGCCAACAAAAAACATCTGGAACAGACCCTCCGCTGACCGCACAGGATAACTGCAGGAATACAGAGACCACCTTAATCCTCGCGGTGATTATCCCTCCTGAGACGGTCTCGAAGTAGAAGGAGAGGCCGGCTAGGATCGAGTAGTCCCATCATCATCTTGCCCAATTCGTTATGTTTGATGGGTTTTGTGACATAGTCGTTGAAGCCAGCGCGTGCAGCGTCTTCAATTTGGTCTGTCATTGCATTGGCAGACAGAGCCATAATGGGTATTTGAGGGTAATGATTCTTTAGTTCCCAGCCACGAATATCACGGCAAGTTTCGTATCCGTTTTTCATTGGCATTTGGATATCGCACTGCGAAAAATGTTAGTCACAAGATCAGCAACGCAGGGAGAACAGCCTGTGCAGCTTACTATTATAAGGGAGTAGTATCCAGGCTCCTTAGAGAATACCATTTCCGTGCACTCTTGACCATTTGACGCTGTTTCGGCCATGACCTTAATCTTGTCCAGATATTTCAACATGACCTATGTTACGTTAGCGCGGGCGAAAAGAGTCTAAGAACTCTGGGCTAGAAACAAGGGACCAACGTACCATACGGTTTGTTTCGTCGTCTTCAACGAGCAATATCCGGTATCCCTTGTTCCCGATAACCTCCTTCACCATCTTAGACATGGTTTTGAAATTATTGTTGATTTCTCGGGCCATGTCCTGATTTCTATCCTTGCTGAGATCTCGCCTATTATCGGGGTCAAAGATGGCTGAGAATGCTGAAGGCTTGACCGGCTTTGGCACAGTGTAAACACGTCCACCGCTAGCAGACAGTTCCTTGATCTTTGAATTAATCTGTCGCTTCTGGTATAGGTCGGAAATAATAACAAGAGTGGGCGCGGACGCTGAATCACAGTCTGAGACGTATTGAATTACGTCCTGGACGTCTTCCACGCTGGGTAGATTTAGTACCAGGTGCGTGATCTTAGCACTAGACTCATCATTCATCGAGTCCTTCCAGTCTTCGACATCAGGCAAGGATGTAATTGCAAAAGGTATCTCATGAGGCACCACCTGCTCAATATGTTGCTTGATAGCTTTGCGCGTATTATCCAGGGGACATAGAATGAGAATCGAGTAAGGGTCCTGCGAGACCGGGGCATCTGAGCCTGCATCTACAGGTGCCGATGTATTCGATAAAGACAGCTCCCGGGAGGTTGATGAGGATGGCCGAGCTACAGGGCGTATGGTATCGCTGCTCGAAGAAGCCGTAGGAATCGGGCGAGCCTGCGACGAAGAATCCGTATTACTGAGCTTTGCGGGGTCAACCTTGGTGAGTGGGTCCACAGCATAAAGCTCGGGGGTTGGTAGAGCTGAAGAAACCGAAGATCGCTCTGAGAAGCTATTGGAAGCAACCCGAGCCGAAGGATCAGAGCTGCCTGGAGGTTGGGAAAGCGGCGAGTCAAGTACGGATGAGATATCGGTATCGAGTCCCTTTGAATCTGTAGAATCCCTGGACGAAAAAAGCATCTTCTGCAGGGAACTAGGTTTGGATTGCATCCCAAGACCCTCGGACATGCTAGACGATTGTCGAACGAGGCGCGGTTCGTCAGGCGACGGTGGCGGAGGTGCGTCAACCTTCACGTAAAACGAAAACTTGGCGCCTTGGCCTTCTTTACTGCTGGGGGTCAATCTGCCACCATGCATTTCGACGAGTTGCTTGGATAAGAAGAGCCCAAGGCCGCTACCAGCATGTTGTTGGGAACCATTCTGTCCTAATTGGCTGAACCGTTGCATCAAACGCTCGGCATCTCTTGCGCTGAATCCCTTCCCTGTATCAACAACGTCAAAGTTCAACAGTAATTCTGTCTCCTTGGAAAGGGTCGCGGTGCCATGATCGATGGAGCAGCGTATGTGGATTTCACCTTGAGAGGTGAACTTGACTGCATTGCCAACTAGGTTTATTAAGACCTGCCGAATTCTGAACCTGTCACCAATAACCATTGGGGGAACATCGACGTCCATCAGATAGTTGATTTCGAGGCCCTTGTCGATGGCTCTAGAAGAAACAGTGTCAATCACATCTTCGATTACCGACCGCACATGGAACCAAGAGTTAACTAGCGACATTTTGCCTGCTTCAACCCTGGAAACATCTAGAATATTATCAACCAATTCACGAAGGTTAGTGGAGCTGTTCTGAATCGTGTCCAGCATTCGCCTCTGGTCCGTGTCGAGATGAGTATCCAAGATGAAAGGAATGGTACCAAGTATTCCATTCAGCGGCGTCCGTATTTCATGGGACATGTTGCTGAAGAACTTAGTCTTCGATTCCATTTGATTGTTCAATTGTTGCATTGCCTTGTTGAGCTCCCGCTCCAGGTTCTTGCGATCGTTGATATCGGTACAGGTTCCGTACCACGAAGCCTCTCCGCTACCGAAACTGCTCGTCTCGACGCGCACCAGGCGAACAAGGTGCCACCTAAAGTCTGCTCCTTTGGAGCGAAGGCGAATTTCCGTGGAATAGAAGACACGCCCATTTTCATCTTTTTGGACAGAAGCCACACCACGTCTCACGAGCTCTTCTAGTGCAGGCGTAACTCCATTGGCAAGATGACGTTCTTGGAGGGTTGTATCTAATGCGGAAGCGGTGCTTTCCTTTTGGGACTCAGAGAGATATACAGAAAGTACGCCACATTTCTCCAAGTCGTCGGGATGAAGGTGTTTCGCAAATCCAAAGTTGAGCGCTTCTTCAAGTTTCTGGCCTGTGTACAAATGCCATTGTTCGTTTACAAATATGAGACCACGATACTCAGTGGCTTCAAACACAATCTGCGGGATGGAGTTCGAAAACGCTCTGTACTTAGCATCGATCGCAAATTTCTCTCTCTCCTGAGCTGCTTTGAGTTCTGCAATATGTTGCTCATGGATATCAAGAAACGAGCCAATCCAATATAGCACCTCACCTGTGGAAGACAGTAGGGGGTTGGCTCGGAAGATAAACCAGCGGTACGCCGACTCGTCGTTGAAACGCTTCACGCGCACTCGTTCAGTGAACTGTGACCCCGTCCGTAAGGCGTTTGCCCACTCTTGTGACACATGCTCACGTTCGCTGCTGTGGATATTTTGCCAGGGGTCCCTTAACTTTTGCTCCTGGGGTTGGCTCCTTCTGTACGCGTCAAATTTGGAGTTTGTCCAAATGACTTCGCCGCTTTGAGGCTTTGCAAGAAATATATGAAGTGGAACGGAGTTCAGCATCAACTGTGCTACAGTATCGGTGAACGGACGTGGTAACTCGCGTGGCAGTTGAGCGTAAAAAGAGTTTGCGGGAGGGTGACGAGACGAGTTTTGCGTAGGGGATATGACTGGCGGCGCGCGGAATTCCTGGGATGGGGATGCCTGAGCTGCAGTTGGGTCTTGAGCGTGGTGCCATCTTCATCCGTTGGAAGCTTCCCCAACAATCTCCCAGGAGAAGTAGGTGTAGAAGTTGTGGCGTTCGGCCGAGGCTTGGACAGTCGATTCCGATGATGAGTCAACGCATCACGGAGGCCCTTAAGCTGTTGGACATTGAAGTAGCTGTCCACAGCATCAGTTCCAAGTTTAGTAGGACATCCTGGCGATTCGCCCAAGACTGACGGGACCCCTGCTCCGATACTACCCAAGTCAAGACCAGGAGTACCGATCCCAGATGGACTGGGTTTGGTCGAGTTTGACCTTTCGTCGGGACTAGACAGGCTAGCACGAGCCTCCAAAGAACCGTCATCGGCTATGGTATAATTGACATGTCCGCTAAGACCAGCCACAAGCTCTAACTCACTGCTTTCGTCTGAAAATGTTCCCCCCAGGCCAAGAAGATGCCCGTAGCGCGGGGCCTCAAGACGAGATGCGAATTGTCGCTCGAGCTGGCTGTAGTGCTGGGCTAAGCAAAATGAAGTTGTCAGGTGTGGAATAAGACAAGCGAGTGACTGTCGCAAATTCGCAGGGTAAGGTATAATAGGTGATAGGATTGAAATAACAGCCACCGGAAATCTCAAAGTGGATGGAGATGTGGGCTTTGATCGGCCAGCATGCAAAAGAGGTATGTGAATTACAGACTTCGCTAGGTCGACACCGATAGCTTCCAGAGGGTTCAGATTCGAGTAATCATGTTGCGGGGGATGTTTCGCGAATGCACCTTCATCGACGGTGTGGCTAGAAAAGAATGGGTTCTGCTCTGCATGGGCACGGGGCGCTGGAGAAGGAGCAGGAGACTGTGACCAGGGGGACGGAGGAACTTGTTCGTATTCGTCATAGAACTCCATCAACGGGACTCTTGTCGCATGCAAGCCTGACGCAGTGGGGTTAGAGGCAGACCTGGACCGAATTGTATGCTCTTTGTTCCACGGCCGAACAGGCTCTGCCGTGGGAGTAACTTGCACCACGTCCTCTGGCGTTGGAATGTCACCATCAGATTGCTTTGCTGCAGCATTCTCGGAGTACTCTCTGGTTAGAACGACAGGCCCTGTGCGCCCGAATAATTTCACAACACCAGTCCTCTTTATAAGGGGATCTGTTTCAACTTCCAAGGGCCTGGATGTGGGGAAGACAACCTGTCGATGATTATATTGGGCAGGACTAATCGGGTCAAAGGACTGCGTAAAGGACACAGTGTGCGCCTGGTAGGGTGTGGCCGAGGCCTGGCTCTGAGCTGCGCCAGCACCATCTGGGTTTTCGTTGGAGATCTGAACGCGCTTGCCCTCATTTTTCACCCTTTGCTCTTGCGGTGAGGTTTCCAAATCTTGCCATGTTGATAATTTCCGCTCCTTACCAAACCCTGCAAACGAGTGCCTTGCCAGAAGCGAGGGTCGTTTGAGAAGTTTGGCAGCCCCCGATCCATTCGCCAAGCTTTCCGTAATAGACTCTTCTTTCCTCTTCTCCGAGTTGGCCTCCCCTTTGATAGATCCATCGCTCGTTCCAGTTGCCTCGTTGTTGGACTGCTGGTTCTGTGGAGTCTCCCGTTCATAGCCTTCTATATTCCGGTCGAAAACTGCCTTCTGGCCCCACGGCACGTTTTCAAGATCCGTCGCATCTCCAGGTATGGCTAGCGATGCTCTCTCAGCGCCATAGTTCTCCTGTAAGATGTGCACAACGTTGGCCCACCATGCATCAAGACCAGGGTCGGCATTAAGCTGCAATGTAAGATCATACAAATTGGGGGTAGAGTAAGTCGGGTCCTCAGGCACGGGTTTGTATTGAGGTGGGAGGAAAACGTTATGGGATGTAGGGGTCTTCACCGAGGTTGGTTGTCTTTCGTCTGCCGGTTGTGAGGACATCTTGTGAACTTTGAGCTTTTCAGCCGGAAGCGTCAGCTTGAATGGGTTATGGTTGAGCGTAGGATCTTGCGTCGACTTTGGAGCTGATTGATGCTGCATTCTGGGGAAAGGGTACGATGGGGTCTGTCCATGCATATTCTCGGGCGTTGAATCAGCGGCTCGTATCGTACCTCCGGAGCCGGTCGAGTCGGAATAGGAAGCTGAAGGCATGGCATCTGTTGGGAGCGGTGCGATCCTCGGGGAAGATACATTTGAAAGGCGCCTTTTCCTCGACGATTCATAACTCGAGGAGACGGGGTCTGCTTGCGACGAGGTAGTTTCCCGAGGGGCTGAGGTGTTCTGGGTCTGCGACTGTTGCATCTGTTGATATACAAGCAACTCCTCCATCTGTCTCCGTAGTTCCTTGAGGGTTTGCAGGCTTCGTCCTTGATCCTCTTGGTTCCCTTTCCCCGAGTCTGAACTCTCCTTCTTCGTAGATGGTGATGCACAATACGGGGTCGTAGCCTGTTCATGTAAAGCAGAAGGTGATTGAGAGTTAGCCTTCCATCCCTCTATGGGCACGTTTCCGTCCGTTGTGCATCCAACGTTTCTACTGGAAACCAGGTCGGATGTTGACTGGGGGGAGCCACGAAGGTGAGGATGAGGTGCGGCGATAGGCGAAGGGGCCTCGGCCGGCGATGGAAGCGGAGTTGTCCTCATACTATGAACTTCCCCCATCCTATACACCCTCCACCGCCGGTCAGATAATCAATTCTCCTGGGCGAATCCAACTCCACAGGAGCCAAATGAGGCACTCATCTCTCGGACGAAACGGTCCGCGGATCAGGTGAAGGAAGACCGGAGAGTAAAGGACGATATTAGACCAGGGAGAGAAGAAGGGAACACGAAAGAACGTAGGAAGGACGCGGAGAAAGGAAAAAGTGAAGTTCGTTAAACGCACGGAAAGAAAAAGGGCAAAAAGGGGTGGGCCTTAGGAAAATAGAAAATCAAAAACTCATAGGGTATACGTCGGCCGGGTGAAAAGAACAAATTCTGGGGAACTAAGGAAAGAGAGAGGGACAAGAGGGAATGATGTGTAAGAAAGGGAAAAAGGGTTAGAAAAGGGTAAAAAAAGAAAAAGGAAAATCGAAGACAAAAAAATAAAAGAGTGGTTCAAGAAAGTTGGCTAAAGCGGTGTATAACGGTGGTGGTGAGGTAGGTACTGAATTGAGAGGAAGGTTCGACTGATCTGACCTTTCCTAAAAGCACTGGAGCAGGCTCTGCTGTTTGACCCAGTGGATCATCGATTTGTGCTGAAGGGTGTGGAAATGGTCCGTCTCCCGGGGGGGTCCAACCTATGACGTAGCCAAGCCCTGACGGGTTCTTGCAAAACCGCGGTACTGTCGTGAGGCTTCCCAGGCCCTGGAACGTTCGAAAGCGTGGAGGGGTATTACAGTAGGAGAGAGGCTGGTGGCCAGGGAAAAGTCAACCGAATCAACATGAAAAATGATAATAATAACAATATTAAAAGAGAAATTCTAGGGCGGGGGTTCAATAAGAGAGACAAACACTATGGTACACCAGGAAGAACTTGACCGGTCAGGGAAAGTGAGTGTGTGCTAGAAGGAAGGGAAATGGATGGGCCAAAATCAAACCGGAAGGGAAGTAGAATAGTCCGCTATGAAGAGGGATGGCTGATTGGGAAGCCAAAGAGAGGTGAGAGCCTACCTAGGTAGTTTACCTATGGGGACAATCTCAGGTCACCTGAATGCTATCTGAGAGGGGGTGGAAGAGGTTCAGAACGTATGTATGCATCTAACTGTGTTTTTCTTTTTTTTGTCTTTCTTAATAAAATTAGATAGATAAAATATGTCTCTCCTGCAATGATTCAGGTCTCACTATACCCAATACTTACAGGAGGATACTACCTGCTTCCCTAGTAACTAGTGTAAGTATGCCTAAGTACAGTGTGGTATGTACATACTGTATCGTATTATTGTCGTGGGAAAAGGAGATATAAACAACTCCATACAACATGGTCCCGTAACTATAATAATAATAACACATAATGCCCCATCCATCTTCCACCCAATTCATATAGATCACAATAGTAGATATGGATTTATCTTCCTTTTGAACTTCCCTCCCTGATCCGTTGGTTATTCCAATTCTCCTGATTTTACCTGATATACATGAAAAAGCTCTTCCGCCCCTCCAGTCACCCTCATGTCCAGTTTGAGGAACATATCGAAGCAGATACGTTTTGAGCATGTATCATAGGAAGTTATGGCCCGTGCTTATAATCATACCACGCACTTGGTGCTAACACTTGTACTAAAATACGGAGCACTCTGTAATATTGAACATTATTAATAATGTTAGCATGGAGGTGGAGAGGTTGGCAGCCGATAACTTCCCGCAAGGTCACCATAGGGTTTGTTAGGCGGGACTTGAATCGTGGTATGTCCGGCGTGCAGAGTGCATCCGTCATCTTTCGGTCTCTACGCTTTCATATCTATTTGAAGATAACTCAATCATTTTCAATAATTCAATGTCAAGCCTGCACTATGAATCAGGCAAAAGTTGAGTAAGAGTGCAATCGTTTCGAAGTATCAGAGAAAATGCATGCACAGTGCAGAGTAAGGGGGCTAGGTAAAAAGTAAAATAAATAAATCAAGAGAAAAAAAACTCGATAAAATAAACGGGAAAGGCTTTCATTTCCCCGGGCTGCAAGACGTCAAGGGTCATCGTTTATGATTGTGTGGCGCTCTCCGACTCCAGAGTCTCGGGTACAGCAATCAATAAATGGTTAGTCTGATTTTAAAATTGTCCAATGTCGGGTATTTCATACCGTGTATTCCGTATTCCATGTATTTTTGCCAGGGATACCGTAGAGTATCCAAGGCATGACCTTAATACCGTATGGTATTTTCGTCAACTGGTCATTAGTGCTTGCTTGTCCTGGGAATTTCCTGAAAGGTTGTGTATCGAAGCTGACTAATAGTACTTTTTCAGGTTCAATTTCAATATGAGCCTACCTTCGCCAACTCCGACAACAACTTCCGGAGGAGGTGATGGACATGAAGCAATATAGAGTAGGACTACTTGTCATAGATACTGTCATCCGATTCAGGTCGCAGTGCTGGTGCTTAAGTGGTATTGTTGTGGCTCTCAAATTCCCCTTTGAACATCCCATTCCAAGCAGACTCGTTTCTGCCAATCAGTGCACAGTTCTTACCCACCCAACGCTAAGCATGGGGTACAGGACTCGGGAGGGAGTGCAGATGGCTTAAAATGTGAAAGAGAGCACCCTCTGTCGTCATCAATCCCAGTACTAGCTCCCTACTCCGAAGTATCGGCTTCAACTTAATAGCCTACTGTACTCCGTACCTGAAATTTATCCATGACAACCAATACCCCTAGCCCTGCCGAGCTCCTTAGGTGTTATTCCGAACGAGTCATGGTCCGTACCGATCGATATATCTTTGTTAAGAAGTGGGACGAATTCCATGGATCCCGTCCTATCCTGCCTAAGCCACTCATTTTTGGGCTGCACCACGTAGCCTCCCTTGCCCCTGATTTCTTTTTTTAAACTTCATCCATCCTTCGTGGGAAAGGAAAGTCTATACTCAAACCATTTTAACCGTTTTTCTCGAAGCAGATTTAGTGTTCTAGCTTGCTTTCCTAATCGAGGCAGTCGGCCGAGATTTATTGAAATCCCTTCGGCTGTACTGTTCTGTCGATCCTCTGGACATTTCGGGTGTACCTCCGGCCTCTCCTCGCTCAACTGTCTGCTCAGTAGGTATATATGGAGTACAATACATTGGAGCACGTAGCGATATCTCCCTGTTATTTAATTAAATCTCTTTCCCACACCGTTCTGATGTGGCATGGAATGAATTTTGTGTTCTTCAAGAATAGCTATCTCTTTCTTTTTTCCTTTTTTTAGCGCTTGATATTTTGGTACTTGTGTACTGATTGCCTTGCCCCCGTCCGTCCATTGTTAGCAAACTCACTTCAAAAACTCATGCAGGAACAATACAGTTTTACTTCTCTCATCCACACACGGCTCAATGTTAACTGGGTGATATAACTAAGTTTCCACAACTATAAATATCTTTGCTAGGTAATTGTCCCCGGTAGGGTTATTTGTCCGATGTGATAGTAGTATCCACAACTCGGGGTTATGATAGGTATTGCTCTTTTTGGTTTTTGAAAGATAGGTATAGAATTCCAACATTGGCGGCAGTTATTCCATGAAGTCTTGTTATAAAGTAAATTGAGACCCATCATACGATTGGTTTCTTCATCTGATTAGCGAACATTCTCCTTGGGGTCAAGCATCGTTGTTAAGTTTTACTGCGGTCTTGCGGAATCCCAGAAATATAAAAATATATCACGGTGGGTTTACATGCTGATGCCTGAAAAGGGATGGGGGTGAAGGCCCTGCATGGAGTCTTTTATTGGAGTGGATGGATTGACAGCTGCCGTAAACGCACCAGCCAAAGTTCAACGATAGAACTTTAGGCAATCTATAGTTCATCGCTCAAACCCTGTAGCGTCCCATAGCATGTGGCTGATCGCCAACTTTCCCTCGTGATGCTCAATGGAAGATGACTAAGACACTGCTTATTCAGGGACCAAATGACACCTGAGGCGCCAAGGCCGAACAAATGGCTTGTCACGGATCAGGTGCCTCCACTCGCGACCACACGAAATGATGGCAGCTGTACAATGACAAGTCAAGTCTTCGATCGTCGCTATCTCTACTTCTATACCGCCAAATTGCGCGCACGTTCCGCCGCCTCGTAGCTATACTTCGCCTCGTCCGATCTCCAGAGGGAGTGAGGTGCTTTGTCCCCTCCGTCCTTGGCGATTGTACCGTTTTTGTTCCTGATGATACTGCACACTCTGATTTAACGCCCCGCCTGATCAGACTTGCGACAACTCTGCACACGGGTAATTCACATATGGCTGTTTATTGAGGGGGGCCGAATCAACTAGGATATATCGGTAGTCGGTTGAGATGGAGGATAGTAATATCCTTGGTGAGGACCTACCACTCCCTCCAACCCGGCTTTTCGAACGGCTGGCGCAGCTGCCTGGATATACTTGGGATCAGTCCATCGAGCCATTTCATTCAACATACAGCCATTGGCATGTTTACGGTCTCCGCCATTCTCTCGAGTCCGACGTCTCTACACCCGCCGCGACGTCGTCAGGACCATCTAGCCTCGCGCGCAACTCCCCACGAACCGAGTCCCGCCCTCCCTTTCGCCATCACTGGAGAAGTAGTCTGAGCGAATCCAGCAGTGAGATATCACTTTCGCGTGGCGATCACGAGCCAATATGGACCCCAGTCATCGCCCGGGTTTCGGCCCACGTTGTGAGACTCGAGCGCGAGTTCCATATGCAAAGGTCCATTGTACAAACGTCGGATCCGGATTGCAACCACACAATACGACCGATTGATCTCATACGGCTTCCTCGAGATCCTGGCGATGCGGGTCCTCTACTGGTGGCTATCTTCGAATCACCAGGTCCGAACATGCTACGGGAGTTGGTCGCATTCGGACCTGCCTGGTTTGCTATTGGCACCAAAGGCGACAGTAGTGAGCCGACTCCAGGAGAGCAGGTTTCCCTTCCAGTGTTCCTTGATTTCGGCATCGGCGCATGCGATTGCCTCGAACTCCTACATTACGGGCTCAAAACGGTTCACG